TAGACTTTCATTTTGTATGAAAGGACATGAAGAAGGACAGAAGACGATGGCTGAGTCTCATTTTACTGCGGTCATTTGGCTTCAAATGGCTTTCGGGTTGACGCAGTTCACGGTTACGCTTTTATCCTTCATGTGATGGACATGATCAGAACTGAAACTCATTCTTGTAAAAGTCTCACGTTAGCACTCGGTCAAGAAGACTATCCAGCTCTAGCTTACCTCTTCTATAGACTCAATTAAACAAAAGAAAATAAGATGGCTAATTATATTTCATAATGGTCGTGCTGCTTTTGTTCGAGAGTGTGTGTCTGTGTGTGTGTGTGTGTGTGTGTGTTTGTGTTAACGTCTATACGTAATAACGGTCCTAAATCGGGGATCAAAAAAGCTTAATTTTAGACTCTGCTTATCAAGGTTTAATGACCCATGAAGAATCCCTGATCGAGATGGTGTGAATGCATAGGCAACTATGATTGAAAGAATGACAAATAAGCTTGTAGACGCGTTCCAGTAAAGCTGGTAAAGAAGAATCCGCCGTCGTCTCCTGGTGCCTCAACCAAAAAAATTCACTCGAAATGCTGATAAGCTCAACAATTATGAAACAAGAGAGTCCTCGAGACTCAACTTTTCCTCGCCCCATCTCCTATCCCATATCAACTTTCTACGACCCCTTGGACACATGAGATCACATGTGGGCAATGAGATCACATGCTTTGAGTTGTGTTCATCCTATTTCGTGTAAGGTGATGAAGGACTGGTAGTTGAATTGTCCCACAATGCTGTGAGCAGAGCTGATGTTTTCCATTGCATTCAGCATGTCCTTGATTTGCCAAAAGGTCTTCTCGTCCAGGCCGAAGTGGACTGCACTTGACACCTCGCCTTTGTCTTTTCAACACCGCCCAGCGGCACTCGAACCATGAAAATGTAGCCTGTAGGCCCGACAGTTGAGCCATGACGCCACATTGCCACGAGTGCCCTTGGGTCACAGGGCCGATGAAAATGTCACGGAACGTCCAGCATTTTCCATATCACATTTTGTGCTGGAATGGTCGATTAAGCAAATTGAGTGACACAACTCCTGTATCTGATTTACCGGTAGTCGAGACAACGTACTAGCTTACGAAAAAAAGAGATCACATGGCAACTCACCTGTTCTGGAGGGCTCGCCTCGTCTGGGCGACAGATTAAATCCAAGCGCCAAATTTGGGTGTGCTGATTCGGGGGGAGAGGTTCGTCTGGGCTGTGACACGAGGCGAAGTGGGAGGGGGGTTTGGCGGAGGGGGGGAATGCGGCGGAGGCGGAGGAGGTTGGAGGACTGCTCGGCTTCGGGGCCAAAGGGCACCGGGTCGAAGTGGTCAAGGCCTGTGGGTCGTCCAGACAGCCAATGGGAGGAGGCGGTCGGCCGTCGAGTCCCGGTCGCCGCGAGAGCAACCGGTGGCCGTCGAGTCGGGCGAACCCGGCGGCGTCGTCGAGACGAGTCGTCGAGGCGAGAGGTCTTTGGGCGTCGGCAGGGCCTGAGGCGAGAAAGTGCCGGCCCTGCTGGAAGACCAGCAGACCCGAGCGGCTCGAGATCGTCTCGCTGCAGGGACTCGAGCACAGGCCTCCGGCCGACTCTGCCGACTGTCTACCTGGCGTTGCCAAGACAACCGAGAGGCTGGTTCGTGCCGAACGTTGATAGCCACGACGTCCTCGATGACCGCTGACGCGACCGGAGGCGGCTGAGCTGTCTGCCTCGAGTCTGGCTCTGGCGGCGCTGACTCGAGCCTCGCCTCGCAGTCGCCAAGTCGGCAGCATCGTCGTGGCAACAGCGAGTCGATCGAACTGAGCGGCAATACGAATGACGACAGGCAGGCAACGCGGACGTTGCTAGGGCGGTGCGTAAGGGAAGTGTTGCCGTGGCACTTGGCGACTGACAGGCGGGTCTCAGGTGAACGGTGTTGGGCTG